TTAGTGTCAAGTTAATAATAAACTATGCTCAAACATGAACCATAAACACAAAAATGTAAAATATACAAAATATATATTATATCAATTAATGAAATAAAACTCAAGCTCACAGTGATGCTTCTAAGAATGACATATGAAATAATCAGAGTAAATTTCACATCATGATGTAACAGAAACGTCACATATGGCAGGAAGATGAATCATGCACTAACCCATTTCCGATCTAAATCATTCAATTAGTAAAATCCTTACCCTCTTACTTGATCTGGCTGCAACACACAAACCATGTTAAAGCTAGTAAGAGGACCTGCATCTAGCTTTAATCTGTAAAGAGAATTAGATTGACTGTTTAGAAAAGCATAAAATTGCCACACAGCCTATGAAGAAGCAGAAACAGATCAAGAATGGCAGAGAAATGGAAGTGAAGAAAAGCACCACTGAGCCAAGATGTAATTAGAAAGTTCCATAATGGTGGCAGGGACACTGTCTGCCAGGCGACCGGGCCTGAGGCTGCTGTCATACCCATGGTCTGCTGGTCCACTCTGACAAACTCATTTACGCTGACCACCTAATTACTATAATGAACCATCAGAGGCACAGATAAAACTAAAACAACTCTTTATTCAACCTCAGCCATGATGGTGGAATCACTCCCTGGGTGTTACTCTGGCTTTTATTATACTGCCACTCCACAACTGGATTTGTGGAGTATTAGAGCAGTTTGGGCTTTAGATTGAAAAATTGATAGATACTGTGAATACCAAAAACTATTGTGAAACAGTTTTCAGTCACCAAACAGAGCCTGTACTGTCCATTTTAGTGACAGACAGGTGCAAGACGTAATGACTAATGACAATTTTAATGACATACTTGTTATGAAACAAAAATCAAATATTGCAGCTAGAGATGATAATTCAGCACTCTGTGTCTTCACTGTTTTGGGATTCTCTGCCCACCCCCTTCTTCTTCTTTTGGTCTATCCTCAGTGAGAGTTTACTTAACCTCTTCATATATGCATTTGCACATACAGTATATGTGTTTCTACCTGTGTGTAAGATGTGTGTTTATGCCCACTCCCAGCTGGTGAACAGCTGAGGATTGATGTACAGTAACTCAGAGAATGCTGATGGACAAAAATGCAATGTGATTGTCTGGGAGTTTTAACACACACACACACACACACACACACACACACACACACACACACACACACACACACACACATATATAGATATATATCCATTTCACAGCAATTCATTATTGAATATCAGCCCCTTTAAAAATCAGTTGATATATGGTTGTCACCATTTACCTGTAGATCCTCAAAAATACAGAGCTATCTTCACTCGGCTGCTAGGCAGTAAACTAGTCCATCTTTTCATACACAGTCTAGAATCAAAACTAAATATCTGTTGAGATTAACAAAGCTGAGGCTATATAATGAATAAAAGCTGACTACCAGAGTGAATTTACCATGTAAATTTTAGAACATAAATAGATATACAAAAAAGGGAACATCTCACCGTTCAATGTCTTTGGATTTCATGATGTGGTTCTTTGCAGCAGTTATTTTCCATGGTCCAAAGGTAAACTCCTGCTTACTGCTCTTAAAACCGTGTGACATCATCATGGACATAGAGGCCAACATCAACTACAAGAGATAACAAATTTTAAAAAAATGTGGCAGTTCCACTGACTGATTGCACCTGCAGGAATTGCCTCATGCAACAATGGCTGAAAGAAACAAACACTGATGGTTCAAAGACATTCCTCAATAACTGCGCCTGGTTTTGAGGATATATTTTCCCTATTGCTGCTGCACTGTAACCAGAGAAAGTGGAGGGAAATACAGGGCCCCAGGTTACTGCATGTCACGGACTCACTGTTTTACCTGACCAGGTCTAACTTACAAGCAGCTAGTGAAGCCCCCCTGGGGCAGTTAGTGATCAGCTCATCAAGGCCGGATTCCCCTGAAGCACAGTACCTGCTTGGTTTGACTGCTAGAGGCCAGTGTGTCTGCCACATGTGGTGTTGCCAGTTAATGAGAGGATTAACGAACCTTGATGTTAATGTCGGCGCTACGTTACCTGTTGTTTAAAAACACATGTTGCAGGTCTGTTAATGCCTTGTTTCTGTAACGTTAGAGAAAATTGTTGTAAGGCTGTAGAAGCTAATATGTCTATGGAGGAGAAATTCATATTCATTAATGCCATTGCAGTTTTTCGTGCTATCCAATTTCGACACAACACTGGTAGCAGGAGGTGTGTGCGTTCATGAACTATCCACTCATTTTTAGGAAGAGGTCCTTGAGTTTTAGAATAACTAGACTATTTGGAGTTATGAAGGGTGCCAAGCTAATCTAGAGGTACCCAAGATTAAACATTAAATAGCTGGAAATGAGCAAAATGAGCAGCCATGGGGACTTTAAATAACAATAGGAGGGCTGCAGGCAACAGATTGTCACAGAGGGCGCAGTCCTGTCGCACTTAAACTGGCTCTATCAGACAATGTGCAAAATCTCCTGCATCACATTTCAGCAATATCATGTTATGACATGAGAATATGTACCACTGTATTTCTTGAAATAAGCCCTGGAGCGATTTAAATCATATACAGGAAATAGCACCACCAAATTTTTTCCTTTACTATAAATGATTTAAAATAACATTTTGATGTTATACTTCACTCTGTCTCGACTACTTCAGACCAATGACACTAATAGAGTGAACAACATGGATTTAAAATCTCCACTCTCATCACGATAAAACCCTATACTGATTCTCTTTGCCAGTGATCCCATGTTTGCCGATACTTAAAAATATGTCGCAATACAATTTGATTCATGGGCCTGCAACCCTCTTCTTCTTTTTCTGCTTTCAGCTGTTCCCGTTAGGGGTCGCCACAGCAAGTCATCAGTTCCCACTGAACCGACAATGTGCACGTTTAACTCGCCATGTTTTACAGATGCCCTTCCACATAATGTCTAATTTAGAGTCGCCAACCAACCTAAGCGGCATATGTTTGGACTGTGGAAGGAAACTGGAGCACCCAGAGAAAACCCACGTAGGCACAGGGAGAACATGCAAACTCCGCACAGAAAGGTCAGCTGGGGCTACGATCCATATCAAGGGATATTATCTGCGTCTTTCACACACTTATATTTTTATTAACTAAAATGTAACAGAAGTATAAATTATAAAATTTATTGAGCTCCTTCATTCACTTTCAAGTGCTATTAAAATGCAAATAAGGACCAAAGATGACCTTCCAATTCAATATAAACTTTTTTAAGACAAGCATTTACACTGTCACAAATACAAAAAAAGTTCCTGATGGGAGAGTTTACTTTATCTGTGTATTTTTTTTGGCTGCTACAGGCTGAGGCCATTTGTCATAGAAAGTGTTTTGTCACTTGTCCCTCTCACACAACAGATAAAACTGCAAGTGAGGCACGTCACCCATGACACTTTCTACACTACAAGTTTTTTCTCTCTGGTGCATTTAATCCCCACAGACTATTTGTCTGGTCGCTGTCCTGATGACATATGGCCGTCCTGAATACAGTGAAGCTGGATTGAATAGATCAAAGTCTTCAGTAGCTTATGTGCTGCTTACGTCTCACTTTTAGAGTGAATGCCCAGTTTCAGAATGCTAGCTGCACTGCCTGGTGCCTGTTGTGCAGTTGAAAAGAAAAAAATAAATAAACAAACAGCTTCACCAGAAATGCATACATATGTGGCGAGCTGTCAGAATAAAAGCATGCAAAACATCAATGCTTATGTTTTGCATCAATATCATCAGATCACAGGGTGTTCAATCAATGCATCGATCCTGATCAATGGATCATTACACCCCTAATTCTGAATACTATTTTACAATCAATATTTAAGATAATGCCAGCCCACAAGTTAGGCTATAGGTTCTCTGTTCATCTGTTTACCTTGGGGTAGCCTATGTGCTAACAGCATTCCTACTTTAGTAACCTACCAGCTGCCAACATTAGCTTTAACTTTATATAATAGGTTACCTAGCTAGCAACTGTGTTACCACATATCCTGAACAGAGGACCTAACTTGTGGACTGTCAATATTTTAAATATCAATAGTAAAATGATATTTATAATACAACACAGGCATGTTCTGATTAAAATGAAGATAAAGCCACATGACACCGGAATTTATTCAGTCAAGGTGATGAGCAATTTTATCTCTGGAAAAAAGGCCTGAAAAGCCAAATGCCTGAGTTTTCCACCTGTTTGTAAACATACAATACATTTGTGGATCTCAGAGTGAGATAATCCTTTCAAAACTTGCACACGAGCATAACGTGATTCATCTGTGCATGTAACGATCTGTAAATACATTTTCAAGAACTGCACACACAAATCATTTTTACACATTTGTAAATCTGGTTTTTGTTTGTAGATCAACAAATGCATTTGTGGCCTTCAAGGGACACACACAAATTTGTTTTTACATGTTTGTAACCTTGTCTGTATTTGCTGCAGCCGGTGGACAAACAGACAACACAGTCTGCTGTTATCCAAAGATTATTTATGAGGTAAAGAGGCATCACTCTGTAACACCACCGAATAACTGGAGTGAATGGAGTGTTTCTCTGAGCTGCCAACAACTCCAACAATGTGAAAGGCCTTCAAAGGTAAAACCAGTTGATCTCACATCAATGATGGAAATATAGTACATTCTGAAGGATTATTTACACACAAATGGCTATGAAGATCCATCTTCTGTTGATCTTTTACATTAAAATATTATCTAATAACTTTTTGTTTTGTTTTTCAACCCAAATTACTGCCAGATGGGCAAAGAGGTACCTCTAGCTGCAGCATAACCTCAGCTGTTAATGGAGATGTATCTAATAATGTCAAGTCAAGTGTTTACTGTCATATGGACTGTTAACACCTCTACCCTCAGGCCAGAGGTTCAGGAGTGTGAAATGCAGGACCTCTAAACTGAAAAACTTTCTTTCTGACTGCCATCAGACTCCTAAACCGCTGACTCAGGAACTACCTCATGTAATTCCACCTTTACTGTTTACACACTCAGTTTGCACAGGCATAATTGCACACTCACTGCTGACCATTTGCATAGCATACATTCCCTCTTCACTACGCTGTTCTTGTTGTGTTTTTCATTATGCTTCTTTCATTGGCTGTTTTAAAGTGCCTCAGATTTTGTGATTTAGATTTTATGTTACCTACATATCTACTTTATATTTCACTTATATTGTGTGGCATTTGTGTGGATGGCAAGTTAAGAATTTCATTGTACAGGGGAACACGTGTCCTCACTGTACATGCGTCTTACGCTGTTGCACTTCAGCTTGCCAAAGCAAAGAAGCCCTTAGCAGATGGCGAACTTATAAAGAGGTGTGCCATTGAAATGGCCAAAGCTTTTGGGGACAATAACCTGGTGAAAAACTTTGAAGTGGTCTCATTGTCTCATTGCACGGTGACTCAGAGTTTTTGACATTCACAATCATATCGAGGGAAAAATGAAACAAGTTATGCATGACTGCAAGTACTTCTCCTTGGCCTTGGATGAGAGTACTGATGTGACGGACGTTAGCCAGCTACTGATTTTTACAAGAACCATTGACGGTTCATTTGAAGTGCACGAGGAGTTACTAAAATTGGTGTTGTTGCATGACACCACCAGGGGCACGGACATTTTTAATGCCGTTAATAATGTTGCAAGAGCATACCGGGGCTTTGACAAGCTGTCAGCAGTTGTTACGGATGGCGCACCCGCGATGCAGGGGAGACACACCGGATTTGAAGGGCTCCTTCAACAGAACAGAGCAAACTGCCCTATACTGCACTGTATCATACACCAGGTTAGTAGGCCTAATATTATTATTTGACATGAAAGACAAACATAGGCTAATTTTAAAGGTTAAATGTAATCTTCATTTATCTCCACAGGAGGCCCTATGTGCCAGGACGCTGGACTTTAGCCACGTTATGGATTTAGTGACTAAAATAACAAAGCTCATCCGTGGTGGGAACAGGTCTCTCAGTCACAGGAGATTTTTAGCCTTTCTGGAGAAGTGGACGCAGCGTATGGGGATTTACAAATGCACACCGATATCTGATGGATGAGTTGAGGGAAGTGTATTGAGCGTTTTTTTGCACTGCGCTCCAAAATACCTGTGTTTTTGGAGGACAGCGTTCATGGTGATACAAGTGCCTACTGCAGGAAACTCAAAGACACTGCATTCCTTTGCGACATTGCCTTCCTTACGGACATTACCTCACATCTAAATCACTTGAACACAAATTTGCAGGGGAAACACCAAACTGTGTGTGAACTGTATGCACACATGACCACATTTCAGAATAAACTAGAACTGTTTTGGGAAGGTTTTTCATCCCGTTTTCTAAACTTGACACACTTTCCCGCCTGTGAGGAGAAGCAAAAAATGTCCCTAAGTGTGAGGAATTACTTCACAAATATAAGGCCGACATCAAAAAATTGCAGAATGAGTTCAAGCATCGTTTCCAAGATTTTCACATGATGCAGCCACGAATAGCTGATGCTGTCAGTGAGCAACCCTCAGAATTGCAGCTTGAACTCTGCGATCTGCAGTCAGACCCATTTTTTCAAGCAAGGCGCAATGAGAAGGGAAATT